TTTAGCCACCACAGTCAAAAGTAAAAGGTTTAAGGGTAGTTTGGTAATAATCTGGAAATTGAAAACCAGGTGGAAACTTGCCATTTTGTGAAACCTTGGGTGGGTACATGTCGTTTACTCCTCAGGAATAAATCTAATCAACATCTTTCCAAAGTCTAACATAATACATATAAAAATAAATAATTAAAAATGATGTTTTATAAAGAACAAGACTATATAATATACACCTATTATTCATCAAACTTTTTAAATGTGAATGCTTTATTAAATAAAACCTTTATTTTATACATAGTATGTAAGGCATCAAACCTTAAACTTGGTTGGTAAGGTTACTCTAATTATTTCCCCAGATACTGCCTGGGACTATTTCTTGGTAGTTTTGTTTACCCTTCAAAATATCTTGTTGATGCCACACTTGGAAATACAAGAGAAGCTGCGATGTTCACACTTCACATATTTCAGCTTTTATGGTGAAAAAATATGGTCCATCCCATCCTCTAATTAATTAATCTCTATGCGTACACCCATTATTGGAATAAATATAGTCAAATTAATTATAACTTTATGATATTTATATATTAAACCTACCTTAAATGGTTAGGACGAATTGAAAATCTCACTGTGAGGATCGTTTTGGACGTGGTTATTTATTAAGGTGGATCTCAATTATTTTAGAATAAATGTCTTTGTTTCTTGCATGAAGGTAACGTCGAGAAATCTGGCAAAATCTGAAAAAAGGAATAAAAAAATAAGCTGTGACGCTTTTATCAGAAGAGAAGACATGCAGAAAAAGAGCTCATGCTCATCTCTTCCACTCTCTTATTTAATTCCCATTAACTCATCATTCTAGCTTTGACACTCCACTGTTTCATACTTAATCAAAATGTGCTAGCTGCTTTTATTTGGCAAGCTCATCCTCTCTACCCTCTACTACTCTTGCAAAACAGAGATGAATATCATCAGAGGCATGCACTTCTTTTCCTTGTTTATATTTATGTATTTGTGTTTTTGGTGCCTGTCTTCGACTAATCGGTTTGGTTTTTTTTTTTTTTTTTGGGTGGTGGCTCTGGCCTACAAAGCCAGTGGGATGGTGGGATGGTGGTGAAATATTAGAGGGAGAGATGAACTGGCTGGAGGGACATGGTTAGCTTGTTCAAGAACAGCAGAGTGGCTTTTCTCACCAATGTGTTGGAGCTTCATACCCTCCCTGAGGCAAAGAGTCGAGGAGATTTGCCTGTGCTTTTCTTGGAGGTAAATAATTGTTTTCTTCTTTCTAATAGTATATTATACTCATCAAGTAGTGATACTGAGAATACTAGTGCAGAGTACAAGAGTCCGATGGAATTTGCACAGGAACTAGTGACAGAGCCTCATCAATCAACGGGTTTAACCTGATATTGGCTGACATGTTTTCTAAGACTATGGTTTATGTCTCCAATCGACCCAAAGGAGAACCCATCACCATTCAAGAAGTTTGCCCAGGCATTCATGTGCTTTCAATGCAAAACTTGATTCACCCTGGCACAAGGTTTGACTAAACTCTTTCTTGCACTATGACTAATCTCTACTTCTAAAACTTGTAACTAAAATTCACCTGTAGCTCAGCGTCTGGGACTGAATTTTAAAGAAACTATGATTAATTATGGGGATGGTGAATTACCTGTGAAAGAGATGGCTGAAAAACTAATGACGGACTCAATTAAGCAGATGAAAGCAGATTACCTGGTATTTGTTCACTTTATGGAATACAGTCTAAGCCCTGTGTTCGTTGAAGTAGACACCCCACTGGTAAATGTTATCATATCTTTCTATTTGCTCTCATGAAACTCGCTTTATTTATCAGATATATTCTGCTATACAGGGACGTTATGGCACAAGAAGCACTGCTGCGGTGACCGTAGAAGCAAGTGGGCAAGCAGCTTTTATGAGAAGTATCTTGAAAAGGATATGTGGAGGAGAAACTGTGAATACTTATCCGAAGCTGAAATAGACTGAGATTGAAACATTATTTGGTGAGAATAAGGAATTTCATCCATTTGTTTGTATGACATGCATCCATGTCTTAGTTGATGTATCTGTCAACACATGAAGATATAATTAATTAAAAGGGAAATCAATCAATCATGCCTTCATTCTTTTCTTATTTATTTCTGATTAGTACAACAAATCTCAGCAGTTAGTCTCGAAATGTAGAGACTAAAGAAACAACATTCGGAAAGCACATCAAGCTAAGGAAAAAAATGCAATAGACCCCAATAAAATTTTTTTCATCAGGAAGCAAAGAAGTCCAAACCATAAAAATGTAAATTATGGATATTTCTTCGTGATAACTGTTGGAATATTTATAAATTGGATGATGTAGAAATACAATTCACGTGACCCACCGCACCTTCATTTATGGTATAACTAACAATAATTGTCTTCATTAAAGACCCTTCAGAAGTAGAAATAAATGTAAACTCCAGGATGCCAAAACCGTGTGTGTAAAGGAAGTTGAATTCATTTCACTTGTTTAAGACGAAAGAATCTAGTTCAGAAATAATATTACAATATATATATACATGAGAGAAAATGGTGTCATGTTTAATACAGAAAATATCACATTAAAAACATAGAAATTTCAACTACTATCCTTGTTTCTCTTTCAATTTGCAACAAATCTTGACACCATCTTGTCATACAACTTGAAACCTGCTAACTCTGCTTCCCTGCAAACCCCTTGCACTTTGCCAACCTCCCAGAAACCATGTATATTTTAATCATATCCCGTATATGTCATATGTTGAGAGAAACCAGCTTCCTTAAGTTTCGAAAAGTATCTCACAGCCCTTGAAAGATCATTCAAAGCAACAAAAAAGCTTTATAACAACTCGATAAGCCGGAAGATCAAAGAGACAGTTTGACCTCCATATCCCAGACAACAGTCATTGCTTCCCTGTATTTCTTCTCAGAATAACGGCTATGAATGAGGGTAGTGTACATAACCACCTTGGATCCCTTCCGATTGTCTAAACCAATGAAGAGACTCTCCCAACATCAAATTTATGTAGCCTTACCCCAACTTTAATGATAGCCGTACAGTCTTGCTGGCTTAACTTAAAATCATCTCTTGTCCAAGCTCATCTAGTAAGGTCATGACAAGCATGTATTTATCTGGATTTTTACCAACCTCCAATATCAACTTCACATAAATGCTTGGATCCAGCATTCTTTTACAATCCCTGGCAGCCAGAGAAAGCTTCCACCAAGCTTCAAATTTCCACCTCCAATAAAACCCCTCACCATTGCCTCCAACCACTCACGGTAGCCAAGCTAGTGAACTTCTCTAAATCAAGTGGCACTTTCAATTCATGGTGCCTTGCCAAGACCTCAACTGTGGAAGCCAAAACCCGATCATCTGGGAAAAGATGAGGCTGCTTCTGAACCCAACAGAAAGTCTGCAAAGCTCTCTCAGGAAGCTCCATGTGACCCAATTCTCTAATTGTTAACGACAATGACCCTTTCCGCAAGAATCTAGCACATTTGTCAAGAACCACAGACACTTCCTCATTTGAAGTAAGGGCTTTGATCTCCCTAGCTAAACTGATGAGGAAATTTGGGTTCTTGTACACTTGCTTACATATAGATGCACGTGAAGAGGCTATCTTTGGAGCAGCTAAGGTAACATGCTTCTTTGACATGGGAAGTTTGAGCGGCCTTAATTTGTGAGGAAGTGGAAGTGGCAGAGGCCTTTCTCTAAATAACATTCCAGGTTTTTGGGGAATTCTTCCCTGAAATAGAGACGATATAGCTTCAAGCTCTTCTGATTCCCAAACAGTATCGTTGTCTTGTTCATCATCTTCACTTTCATCTCCTCCTCCTTTATCTTCCTCGTCAAAATCAAAGTATGTGTGAGATAGGCCAGTGTCAGTGCTTGGTTCCTTTAAAAACAAGTTAACCCCAAAGTGAGGGGGGAGTTTGGTGCGCCGCGGATTGCGCAAGTTCTTTGGTACTTTCTTGTGATGAGTTCTTCTACTTTACTGTACCATCAAAATTACACTTCTACTTCTTGAGAATTTTGTATCAGCTAGCACCATGGAATACAAACTTATGGATGAGAACATACAATTCATTCTCTTCAATTGAACGAACCATAAACTGAAATTTTACTGGTATTGCATATTTTCAAATTTGAACTATATTGTATTTGAGAGTCTAACACTACTTTCATCGAACATTTGGTCTACCATTAAACACCTCGCTCAACATTGTAGGCGGGCCATTATTGTAAACAAAGGAAAAGAGAGGAAGCAAATGATGAGTGAACAACAAAAACAAAATGATGTGGGAGTGGGAGGGCTGAAGACTATTCAAACCAGTGACTAACTCGTGTTAGTCTTCTTTAGTTCATTTCCCCTTGCCATTATCTGCAAATTAAGAAACGATACATGGAAAAAAATTTGATCAGCTTAAAATACTTAAAATCAATTTTATGGATTTTTTGTAGAAACTTTAACCATTGGTTGTTTCTGAAATGAATAATCCTTCAACTAGCAAAACATAGTGAAAAAAACAATAGATGGTTGCATCAAACAAGGAAAGTTGAGTGAAACTAAGTTGCTTATGAGAATGACTAAAATAGGAAAAAAGAGGAGAGAGGTAAATTGCACTTTTAGACTGTATAAAGATACTTTTAAAACCAAAAAAAAAAAAAAAGTGTTTTCAGGCATGTGAATTGGGAGGGACTGTGAGGGTTCTCTTCTCCTAATCTCTTCATCGTTGGAAAAATGGAAGTTCCTAAGCAATAGCAGCTTTACTCTAACTCTCTCTATTTCTAAAAGAATTGAAAATTTGAACATTAAAGTTCACACAACCTCTCTTCCGCTACTCATCCCAACAATAAATCTCCTTTAATTCCATGTCTCTTAGCTTCTATTTAAATCTATTCACTTGAAAGGACTGTAAAAGTATGATTAAATACAGGAACATATAAATTATTCAGATAAAAGGTGCAGAAAAAGAGCATCAGCACATAAGCTTCTCAACAATTGAACTTACCTGAAGTTCAGAGATCAAGTGTAAACCATCATGTGCTCTAAGTTTGCACCAACAAAAGAAAAGTAGACCCCATATAAGGATAATGATTAAATAAGAACAACTTAATTCACTTAGCATTCGGCATTCTTTTCAATGTCTTCACATAAATGACAACACAAGAAAATAATACCAAGCAAATCACAGGACATATTCACCAAAAAGGTGCAAAAATAAACCACAGGACATATTTACACAAAAGATGCAAAGAAAAAGCATCAGCACATAAACTTCTCAACAAGTGAACTTACCTGAAGTTCAGAGATCAAGTGTAAACCATCATGTGCTCTAACTTGGCATCAATAAAAAAAAACATGGAAACACTATGATTTATACAGGCACTTCACCCAGAATTCAGAATATGTTTATTAGCTTCTGCATAATAGATTCAACAACTAATGCCAAGAAAATAGCAATGTGCATTACTACTGTTAAAGCTAAATCCATTGCTAAACAAAACTGCACCAAATAACAATCAACATTTAAAAGAGGCGTCAAACGGGAAAAATTAAGTAAACCTTAAATTTAAAGAGCAACAAGTGCTATACTTCTCAGATAATAAATCCTCCATTTCAAAATTTGCAAAACACTGATACTGCTGATAAACCCTATTTCTTTAATTAGGCCGTTAGAGTTTCTATGATTTAAACCTGACAAAAGCTATAAATTTCGGACCCAAAAACGAGAAAATTTAAAAAAAAAAAAAAAAAACCTGACGTGATGTGAAATTGTTTTTTTGAGCGAGCATTAGAAGCTGACCGAGCGCCCAAGGCCAGGTGAAGCAGAGCAGCTGCGATTGCGAACCGTTAGGTTCAGTGTTCTAGTGACGTGGCACGATGAAACAAAAGGGGCAGACTCAAATAAGGAAAAACCCGGTTTTCATATGAATGATCCGGCCCATTGTTGTGATACGGATATTTTTGAGAGAAGGATACTATGGTAACGTTATCTATATGGAAAATGATAGAGTTATCGAAAAGTTTACACCGAATTTGTGCATCGAATGACGTGATAAAATCCTAACCGTTGATTAATATTAATTGATAATAAATCAACGGTCAGGATTGTGCCACGTCATTCGGTGCACACCTGTCGGTAACTGTAGCATTAATCTATCTATATTTATTGAGTAAAGTATTCATGTCGGCAGAGGAAATAGCATACCATCGGCATTCTAATAAAAAACACATTCTCACAGCTTTTTCTCACAAACGTTAATATGATAGTTCATAATTATCAATTCATATTTAATGAGGTGGGACTCATGGTTGGGCATATAAAATCTATTACGAGTTGACATATCACATTTGTGAGAGAAAGTTTATGAGAAGAGTTTGTGAATGTAATATTATTGATAAGTAAACGACATGTTCCCACCCAAGGTTTTGCAAAATGGAAGTTCCTACCCCTCGTTTCATAAATTTTAGATTTCCACATTTAAATTAATAGAAAATCGTTTAATGTAATGATCAAAGGGTAAATTAGTCATTTATGCTATATTAAATATGAAATAAAAATAAAAATTTTTAAAATAATCCTCTACATCTCAAATTTCTCACAAATACCCTTAGGCCAAACTTTTTTTTTGTTGTGCAACTCTCTTCTCAGGCTCGATCTGGCCTGATTTTGGAGCCGTTGGCCTCCCTTGACACCACCACCTGCATCTTTGTCCTCCCTACACCAAAACCCCCATGATTTCCATTTGATTATTCCCACCAATTGTTAGGCGCTACTAGGTTTAGGGTGTTGCCTTTTCAAGCCAGATTTTGACCAATTCCGACGATCAAAATCCCACCCGTCCCCACCCCTAGCATCACTGACCCCTTTATCAAAATCCCTATTACCCTAGCGTTTGGTACCTTGTTGAACTCCATTTTCCATGTCCGAATCCAACATGCGACATTGCGGCTTGCGCTCTCGGACGATGCACATTCTTCATCGTGGCCTACGCATCACCTACCACTCTCAATCTCCTTTGCACCACTATTATCATTGGCTTTGGCTGATCTGCAATGCCAATTGTGGTGGCTAGGGTTGGCCCAGCTCACAGGGGTGCAATGGACATGTTTCCATCTTTCAGGGAGGTTTCTAATATTTAGCCACCACAGTCAAAAGTAAAAGGTTTAAGGGTAGTTTGGTAATAAATCTGGAAATTATGAAACCAGGGTGGAAACTTGCCATTTTGTGAAACCTTGGGTGGGTACATGTCGTTTACTCTCAGGAATAAATCATAATCAACATCTTTCCAAAGTCTAAACATAATACATATAAAAATAATAATAATAATAAAAATGATGTTTTATGAAAGAACAAGACTATATAATATACACCTATTATTTCATCAAACTTTTTAAATGTGAATGCTTTATTAAATAATAACCTTTATTTTATACATAGTATGTAAGGCATCAAACCTTAAACTTGGTTGGTAAGGTTACTCTAATTATTTCCCCAGATACTGCCTGGGACTATTTCTTTGGTAGTTTTGTTTACCCTTCAAAATATCTTGTTGATGCGCACACTTGGAAATACAAGAGAAGCTGCGATGTTCACACTTCACATAGTTCAGCTTTTATGGTGAAAAATAAGTGGTCCATCCCAATCCTCTAATTAATTAATCTCTATGCGTACACCCATTATTGGAATAAATATAATTAGTCAAATTAATTATAACTTTATGATATTTATATATTAAACTACCTTAAATGGTTAGGACGAATTGAAAATCTCACGTGGAGGATCGTTTTGGACCGTGGGGTTATTTGATTAAGGTGGATCTCAAATTATTTTAGAATAAATGTCTTTGTTTCTTGCATGAAGGTAACGTCGAGAAATCTGGCAAAAATCTGAAAAAAAGGAATAAAAAAATAAAGCTGTGACGCTTATATCAGCAGAGAAAAAGACATGCAGGAAAAAGAGCTCATGCTCATCTCTTCCACTCTCTTATTTAAATTCCCATTATACTCATCATTCTAGCTTTTGACACTCCACTGTTTCATACTTGAATCAAAATGTGCATAGCTGCTTTTATTTGGCAAGCTCATCCTCTCTACCCTCTACTACTCTTGCAAAACAGAGATGAATATCATCAGAGGCATGCACTTCTTTTCCTTGTTATATATTTATGTATTTGTGTTTTTGGTGCCTGTCTTCGACTAATCGGTTTGTGTTTTTTTTTTTTTTTTTTGGTGGTGGCTCTAGGCCTACAAAGCCAGTGGGATGGTGGGATGGTGGTGAAATATTAGGAGGGAGAGATGAACTGGCTGGAGGGACATGGTTAGCTTGTTCAAGAACAGGCAGAGTGGCTTTTCTCACCAATGTGTTGGAGCTTCATACCCTCCCTGAGGCAAAGAGTCGAGGAGATTTGCCTGTGCTTTTCTTGGAGGTAAATATTTGTTTTCTTCTTTCTATTAGTATTATTATACTCATCAAGTAGTGATACTGAGAATACTAGTGCAGAGTACAAAGAGTCCGATGGAATTTGCACAGGAACTAGTGACAGAGGCTCATCAATACAACGGGTTTAACCTGATATTGGCTGACATGTTTTCTAAGACTATGGTTTATGTCTCCAATCGACCCAAAGGAGAACCCATCACCATTCAAGAAGTTTGCCCAGGCATTCATGTGCTTTCAAATGCAAAACTTGATTCACCCTGGCACAAGGTTTTGACTAAACTCTTTCTTGCACTATGACTAATCTCTACTTCTAAAACTTGTAACTAAATTCACCTGTAGGCTCAGCGTCTGGGACTGAATTTTAAAGAACTTGATTAATTATGGGGATGGTGAATTACCTGTGAAAGAGATGGCTGAAAAACTAATGACGGACTCAATTAAGCAGATGAAAGCAGATTACCTGGTATTTGTTCACTTTATGGGAATACAGTCTAAGCCCTGTGTTCGTTGAAGTAGACACCCCACTGGTAAAGTTATCATATACTTTCTATTTGCTCTCATGAAACTCGCTTTATTTATCAGATATATTCTGCTATACAGGGACGTTATGGCACAAGAAGCACTGCTGCGGTGACCGTAGAAGCAAGTGGGCAAGCAGCTTTTATGAGAAGTATCTTGAAAAGGATATGTGGAGGAGAAACTGTGAATACTTTCCGAAGCTGAAATAGACTGAGATTGAAACATTATTTGGTGAGAATAAGGAATTTCATCCATTTGTTTGTATGACATGCTCCATGTCTTAGTTGATGTATCTGTCAACACATGAAGATATAATTAATTAAAAGGGAAATCAATCAATCATGCCTTCATTCTTTTCTTATTTATTCTGATTAGTACAACAAATCTCAGCAGTTAGTCTCGAAATGTAGAGACTAAAGAAACAACATTCGGAAAAGCACATCAAGCTAAGGAAAAAAATGCAATAGACCCCAATAAAATTTTTTTCATCAGGAAGCAAAGAAGTCCAAACCAATAAAAATGTAAATTATGGATATTTCTTCGTGATAACTGTTAATATTTATAAATTGGATGATGTAGAAATACAATTCACGTGACCCACCGCACCTTCATTTATGGTATAACTAACAATAATTGTCTTCATTAAAGACCCTTCAGAAGTAGAAATAAATGTAAACTCCAGGATGCCAAAACCGTGTGTAGTGAAAGGAAGTTGAATTCATTTCACTTGTTTAAGACGAAAGAATCTAGTTCAGAAATAATATTACAATATATATATACATGAGAGAAAATGGTGTCATGTTTAATACAGAAAATATCACATTAAAAACATAGAAATTTCAACTACTATCCTTGTTTCTCTTTCAATTTGCAACAAATCTTGACACCATCTTGTCATACAACTTGAAACCTGCTAACTCTGCTTCCCTGCAAACCCCTTGCACTTTGCCAACCTCCCAGAAACCATGTATATTTTAATCATATCCCGTATATGTCATATGTTGGAGAGAAACCAGCTTCCTTAAGTTTCGAAAAGTATCTCACAGCCCTTGAAAGATCATTCAAAGCAACAA